TTAGTAATATAAATTACCTGCAAAGATTGATATTTATATACAAAATTTTTGATTATTTCAGGGTTTGATAATAGATTCTCAATACAACTTTTAATAGGACGGTAATATATAAAATATTTTTTATTTTTATAGTCGAGTATACAATATTTTGAATGTGGTAATTTTTGTATATTCATTATGTCCATATGTTTTCGACCAGTTTCGATATTTTTAGGAAAAGGCGAAATGAATAAATTAAAATGTTTATTAAAAAATTTAATAATTGCGTTTTCAGCTTTATTATTTAAATTACACTTTATTACAAGTTCCATTAAGTCAGCATATATTTCGTTTGAAAATTCTATAGTATTTTCTTCAAGTTGTTCATCAGGTTCTTCATAATTACTCTATAATCTTTCAGGTGAAACTTGTTCAAAATTATCATAATCTTCTACATTTGACTCTTCAGATCAATCGAAATTACTTTGTAAGTTGTAATTTTTTGAAAAATTACTTAAAGCATCAGTATTTTCAATATTTTCATAAGATGCAGGTGACATATTTTGATCTTCGTACTCGTTAGTTATAGATGGCAAACTTTCTTCCCGAACAATTTGCAATTCTTCAATTCGATTAGAATCTTTGTCATCAAGTGACGTATCATTTATATCATTATGAGTTTTATTAACATGTTGAGCGTATGCTTGTCGAGATGAAAAATAACGATCACAATATAGGCATTTGAAGTTTGGCATTTTTATAAAATTATATTCGAAATACTTCGAAATTAATTAAATTTTTTTAAAAAATAATAATTTTGAAGATACTTTACATATTTCTTTTATACTTTTCAAATTCTTATATTTTTTTTTAACAATCAAGAAATTTTCTTCACAACTATACTTTCACATCAAGAAAAATATTTATTACTTCAAGAAATTTTCTTCACAACTATACTTTCACGTCAAGAAAAATATTTATTACTTCAAGAAATTTTCTTCACAACTATACTTTCACGTCAAGAAAAATATTTATTACTTTCATAATAGAAACTTTGGTAAATGTAAAAAATGTATTACTAACTAAATATAGTATCTATTCGAATATATTTATCATTTACAAGTTAATTACTTGTTATTTGGAAATATTTATGTAAGGGATAATGGCATTCATTCTCCTTTATATTCTCCTTTATATTCTCCTTACATACCAAACCTGATACATTTTTTTTACCTTCAAAATGAATTTTTTTATAATTTTTAATCTTTTATACCTTTTTTTAACAACTAAGGTACGTAGTATAACGAAAATAACAAAAAATGTAAAATAATTTAATTAAATCTTGTTCTATTATTTAAAAGGATGAGCAATTTAAATGCTCTTTTTTCTACAAGTTCAAAAACTTCTGGAAGTAGAGCTTCCGCAAGTAAATTCTTCGCAAGTATCTCCTGCTTAATTTCACAGTCTTCTGACTTCTCTTTTAATAGTGATAATTCAATTACACTATTATTCCTTGTATTTACTATGCAAGTAAAAAATGATGATATAATTTTAATAATATTTATATTTATTCAAAAAAATTTAAATTGAAAAGTTATCTATTTTTATTAGTTCTGTTATGTCGAATTATGACAAAATTAGAACTTTTACAACAAATAAATAAAGAAAACTAAAAAAAAATATGTAAAATGGAAGAAGATATGAAATTAATAAAAGAAAAAATATCTGTGCTTTCATTTAATAAAAAATTCCTGAATATAAATAAATTTAAATTAATATAATATTTGTAGTTATTATATATTTCAATAATATTTAAATAAAATTATTTGAATTTATTTATTATGCAGGTCATTATTAAAAAAATCTCAGAAGAACTTTTGAACTATAATATATATCCAATTCCCAATAATTATAAAAAATCAGCTGAAGAAGTTTTAAAGATATAAATAATAACTTTTTTTTTGAGTTTAGGTGATCAATGGGATGGATATTTTGAGAAAGGAATAATTGAAATTTACAAATATTATTTTAAAATTGTTAATTGATATTATAAATATTATTAAATTTTATAATAACTATTAAAATTTACAGATGGACAAAAAGATACTAAATTTACATAGTAATTTAAGTACAAAAGTAAAAGTATTTATTATTAAAGTCTTTGATAAATTATTACCTATTAATAACAATGTGACAGTAGTCAAAATACCACATGAAAAAGTAACTTTATAGTATTAGAATATTATAAGAAATTATTTAAAGAAATTGAAAATACATCTGAAAAACATATCGTATGTATAATAAAAAATATATGATCCAAAAAAGAACTAATTCCAGATCTTTATACTGCTTGGTATATGTCGATTGCTGAAATTCTCCTAAACTCCTATAATGATTATATCCAAATTACTGAAAATATTATTCAATCTTTTGTTAAAAAAAAAATATAATAAAATAATTAATATTAAAATAATATTCAAAAATTAACGAAAAATAAAAAATAAAATAAAATAAAATAAAAATTTAGAAAAATATTGTAGATAAGAAAGAATTTAATAATGACTCTAACGAGTTAGAAGAAATTTTCAAAACTTTTGAAAAAAAATATAAAAATCAAATAATTGATGAAAATCAAATGATTGGTAAAAATCAAATGAATAATAATACAAAACTTTCAACTCTTGACAAAACACGAGTAAGAATAGAAAAAATTATAAATAAAAAAAAGAAAATAAAACAAACTGTAACCTTTTGAAATAAAAGAAAATCCAAAAAAGATGACAATAATGATGATAACGATTATGGTAATAATAATAATAATGTTGATAATAAAAATGATAATGATCTGTAAATAATATAAAATAATTAATAAAAAAAATAATTGATAATATAAATAAAAATGAATATAACATAAATAAAATATAAATTTGTGAAACTAAATGAACAAAATAAATTATTAGCATGTTTTTTATTCAACGATTTTTTTAGAACTAAATAGATCTTTATCTATCTAAAAATTTGTTAAAGATTATAACTTCAAAGAATTAAAAATAGAATTTCAGTATTATTTCTCATTAAATATCCTATGAATTTTTCAAATAATTTTCAAATATATCCAGATATTTGAGAATCGAAAAAATCCAATATACAAATATATTTACATAAATTTGTGAATTTATTCAAATTTTTTCTAAACCAAAAAAGATCTAGATATATTTACTCCCAAAAATTTCTTGATAGGTGAATATATCTGAATATTTTTTTAAACCAAAAAATATCTGGATATATTTGCTCCTAAAAATTTTCTGATATTTTATTTCTTCTTCTATATTCATAGTTGAATTATTTTCATTTTGTATATTATTAGCCGTAAAAATAAAATTCATATTTTTTTCATTTTTTTGATTGTTGTTATTATCCTGTTGACCAGAAACATTTCTGATATTATATTTATGTTTTTTTCTTATCTATACAAGTAAAAAGATAGAAAAATAACTAAATTTATATATAACTACAGTAAAAAAATGTATTTCTCTACTATGGGAATATTTGGTACAAGTGATCAATGGGAAGAGTTTTTTTTATTTTTATTTTTCAGTATATATAATTACCTGACACCATAGATATTCATGAACTTTATATAGAAAATATTGACGGAATCAGAAATGGAACTATATTAATATTATCTATATAGTTTTAGAATGAATTCACCATTTTTCACGTCTAACTATTTCCTATATTTTAAACTCAGATAACAAAATAATACAATAATTTTGATACAACTATTTGACAAGTTTATAGTTACAATCATTAATAAGATAATGGATTTTTTTATGTATATGAAGTATAACCCTACGAAGTTTATAGTATTTTTGTTTATGTACTTTTTCATGAATAGAGTTATGTGTGCTTTGAATTTTGTTATATATGTGAAAAAGCTAATAAATTCTACTAATATTATTTTTAATCCATTCTACAGCTTGTTCACTTGAATCATATCTAGTTATAAATGTTCGTACATTTGGATCTAGAGTGATCACTGCATCTGATTGTGTGGGACTTTGATTTTTGATCCATATCTCAAGTGGTTGAGGAATACAATGATAAAATTCTTCAAGTCAATTTATCA